TTCTGGTGACTAGAGGGGATGGACACCCCACCCCCACTGCTGGAGGGTTCTACTACGCAGGCACACAGATCTCCTAGAAATTAAAAGTGACAGTTTCCTCTTAAAACCAAACGGCCACCACTTGTCTGTCAGTTGGTCATACTGTGGTAGCTTTTGAGTTGCTGTGATTCTGGAAGCTATGCCACTGGCATTTTAAATACCAGCAGGGTCACACATGGAGGACAGGTTTCAGGTGAGCTTCCAGACAAAAACAGACTAGGAAGAAAGAGTGACAAACTACTTCCGAATCATTAGTCACTGAAAACTTTATGAATAGCAGAGAAACACTGTCAGATATAGTGCCAGAAAATGAGCCCCTCAGGTTGGAAGGCACTCAAAATGCGACTGGGGAAGAGCTGTCTCCTCAAAGTAGAGTTGACCGTTGATAACGCAAATGGAGTAAAGCTCATGGGAGAAAAGCCCACCAGGATCTTCAATTGCTGATGGGGCACAACTCAAAATGAAGAGAAACAGCTGTAAACATCCATTGAAAAACAGAATATGGAATGTATGAAGTATGAATCTGGGAAAATTGGAAGTTGTCAAAAATGAAATGGAACGCATCAACATCAATATCTTAGGCATTAGTGAGCTGAAATGGACTGGTATTGGCCATTTTTAATCTGACAACCACATGATTTACTATGCTGGGAATGACAAAATGATGGGGAATGGTGTTGCATTCATCATCAAAAAGAACATATCCAGATCAGTCATGATACAATGCTGTCTGTGATAGGATAATATCCATGCGCCTACAGTGAAGTCCAGTTAATACCACTATTATTCAAATCTATGCACCAACCACTAAAGCCAATGAGGATGAAATAGAAGAATTCTACCAACTTCTTCAATCTGAAATTGATCAAACATGCAATCGATATGTATTGATCATTATGGTGATTGAAATGCAAAGGTTGAGAGCAAAGAGGAAGGATCAGTAGGTGGAAAATATGGCCTTGGTGATAGAAATAATGCTGGAGAACGAATGATAGAATTCTGCAAAACCAATGATTTGTTTATTTCAAATACCTTCTTTAGATAGCATAAGAGACAACTATACACATGGACCTCACCAGATGGAGTACATAGAAATCAAATTGACGATATCTGCAGAGATGAAGGAAAAGCTCCATATCAACAGTGAAAACAAGGCTGAGGCAGACTGTGGAACAGACCATCAAATACTCATATGCAAATTCAAACTGAAGCAGAAGAAAATGAAAACAAGTCCACGAGAGCCAAAATATTACCTTGAATATATCCCACCTGAATTTAGAGATCATTTGAAGAACAGATTTGATACATTAAACACCAAAGACCAGAAGAATTGTGGGATGATATCAAGAACATCATACATGAAGAAAGCAAAAAGGCATCGGACAATCTTTGATATCCCAGGTGAATAAAGTTTTGCTAAAGGTCATACAGAAATGGCTACAAGCACATATTGACAGAGAACTTCCAGAGGTTCAAGCCAGATACAGAAGAGGCCGTGGAACAAGGGATATCATTGCTGATGACTGATGGATCTTGGCTGAAAGCAGACACTATCAGAAAGATGTTTACCTGTGCTTTATTAACTACACAAAGGCTTTCAATTGTGTGGATTACGACAAGCTTTGGACAACATTGTGAAGTATGAGTATTCCAGAACACTTAATTGTGCTCATGAGGGATCTGGACTAAGAAGCAGTTGTTCGAACAGAGCATGGGAACACTGAATGGTTTAAAATGAAGAAAGGTATGCGATGCTGAAGACCTGGGAGGTACGGGGGAAGGATTGCATGGAGGGAATTGTAACCATGGCAATGAGACGATATCCGATAGAATGAATGTAAAACTAATGTTCTCCCATGTAAACTATCACA